ATTCATCTTTATATATATATATCTTTATATGCACACATACATATGCGTATATATACATATATACACATATATGTGTGTATATACACATATATACACATATATGTGTGTATATACACATATATACACATATATGTGTGTATATACACACATACACATATATACATATATATACACATATATATGTATATATGTATATACACATATATACGTATATATATGTATATATGTATATATACACATATGTATATTTGAAAAATAAATTTAAAAGAATTTACCAATCCAGAGGTGATATCCCTTTTCATCCAAATACAAGTAGGGAAACAATCAAAACAACTTCTAGACCCTCCTAAGCACTGTGTAAATTTATCAACATGCATGGCAAGAAATAAACATGTCACTTCATCTTTTATAAGATTCTATGAACTGTCCTGATAAGTTTTACGACAGCCAGATTAGGTATGATGCATAATGACACTTCTGTGGCAGGAGACATTTTCAGAGCATGCCAAAGAAGGAATGGGAGCCAACAAATTAATTAACATTTCCCATGGCTAATATACAATTATGAGCTCTACCACAATGTCATTTCATAGTAGGAAAGTTTAAAAATCACATGACTGGTAATGCTCCAGATGACATTGACTTTTATAATGACACCTAGACACTGCCTTTAGAAGCAGTTCTAGTAAATGTGTTTTTTTTTTATTGCATTTTAGGTTTTGGGGTACATGTGAAGAACATGCAAGATTGTTGCATAGGTACACACATGGCAACGTGATTTGCTGCCTTCCTCCCCTTCACCTATATCTGGCATTTCTCCCCACCAGTGTAAAAGTGTTCCTATTTCTCCACATCCTCTCCAGCATCTGTTGTCTCCAGATTTTTTAATTATGGCCATTCTAACTGGCATGAGATGGTATCTCAATGTAGTTTTGATTTGCATTTCTCTAATGACCAGTGACAATGAGCATTTTTTCATATGTTTGTTGGCCTCATGTATGTCTTGTTTTGTAAAGTGTCTGTTCATATCCTTTGCCCACTTTTGAATGGGCTTGTTTTTTTCTTATAAATCTGTTTTAGTTCTTTGTAAATTCTGGATATCAGCCCTTTGTCAGACAGTGTGGCGATTCCTCAAGGACCTAGAAATAGAAATTCCATTTGACCCAGCAATCCCATTACTGGGTATATATCTAAAGGATTGTAAATGTATTTCTATTAACAAAAGTTCCTATTCACAAAATGGAAGAGCTCAAGAAAAACAGTATGATAACAAGGACTACATATTATCTTCTGAAGCAATTATTTAAACTGGTTTAAAGTGTATACATTGCCAAGCCATCTGTGAAAGTCTAATTCAGCAGGTATGGGATGGAGCCAGAAAACTTACTCCATGGTGCAACTGTTCCACAAGAGTTTTACAGAAATTTTTACTTCTAGTACACATTGTTTCCATCTTTACACCTGTATCATTTGGGCTTTGTGCAAATCAGGTCCATAGACTGACTGCAATTAAAAAGTTGATGTTACTGTGAAGGTGTTCCAATGGCAATCTGTCTCTACCAAAAGTACATTTATTAGCCAATTATTTGACATTCATTATAAGAATAATTTCTAAAGTTAAGTAAGACTTTAATAAACATATTGGTTTACACAGAGGATTAACAAATCATATTACAATATTTGTAATTTTCTCCTCTCAATAGGCACACATTTTCCTTGAAATTTTGCAAACCAAGAGTTTAAAATACGGTAATTTTATGTATATCACTTAGAGATGCAAAACAGTAAGAATCACTAGGAGCAACTGACTTTCACATTGATTATGGCAATGGTAACGTACGTTCCTCTTCCACTATTAAAAGAGCAATGAAATATCTTGCATGAAATCATTTGTAGTTTATAGACCTATTTGCATGAGGATGCACTCAGCTTAGTTTATACCCTGTGTACTTTGAAAGCCACCTCAATGATTTCACCTATTTGAAATTTACAAACCCTTCCAACTGTAAGCACCACCAGATGGAAAAATTTCTGAAGTGAACCCAGTTTAAATGTGTAAAGAATCAGGTCTGTGACATGTCTGATTACAGCTACTGAAGAGTCGAATATGCACTAGCTTATACTTTTAAACTCAGTGATTTACCATAATTCTGATACTCATTTTGTAGTGAACATCAATCAAAATTTTTTGTGAGATAATTTATAAAGAAAGGTAATAGGTTTTTATGTTTGCTGGGTCTAGATATACATTAGCTGAAAACTAAAGAATGCAACATAAAGCTGAAAGATTAAATAAAGTATCTCTGGTTACAGTACTCCTGTGCCCTCCATAAGACAGGTACTCAAAGACTGCCTTCTGGCCATGCGTGGTGGCTCACGACTGAAATACCAGCACTTTGGGAGGCCGAGACGGGTGGATCACAAGGGCAGGAGATGGAGACCATCCTGTCCAACATGATGAAACCCCGTCTCTACTAAAAATACAAAAATTAGCCAGGCACAGTTGCACATGCCTGTAATCCCAGCTACTTGGGAGGCTGAGGCAGGAGTATCACTTGAACCCAGGAGGCAGAGGTTGCAGTGACCAGAGACTGTGCCACTGCACTCCAACCTGGTCGACAAAGTGAGACTCTGTCTCAAAAAAAAGACCGTTTTCTGAGCCAAAAATTGTTCAAAAATAATCACAGAAATAAAGTCATCCAGCTACTTTAAAAGATTTCAGGAATTCTACCACTTTTTATAGAAGTGATTTCAAGATTCAGTTTTTTCCAAGATTTTCAAGTAATCTTCCCCTTTAGGCTTTAAGGTGTTAAGTCCTTATTTATTCCTAACAAAACACTCTGGCTGAGATTTAAGTTCATTTTCTCCATCTCTATGAAATCTAAGAAGAGGCGTCAGTCTCCTATTTAAAATAACTCTTCAAACACTGGAGTCCATCTCGTCCCCATTCCAAGGGTATAGGCTTGTTGGTGACATTTGTGAATGCAATATTTTAAGGAGCTATAATTTTGTATGTTATATATGCAAACATATTACATAGAGTATATTACAATGACATTTTACTGTGAGCCATGGAACCTTGGAAAATGATAAAATCATATCTACAACATAAAAATATTAAATCATAAAAATATTAAATCTAATTTTATTGTTTCTGTGTGTCTTTAACGAATTTTTGTGTATGCCAATTTTGTTCATTCTCAAAACAATCCAATGAGGGTGCTTTAATTGCTGCAGGATAGTTCATTACCTGTCAGATGATAGAAAAAGACAGGACAAGAAAAATCTACCTGTTTACGTTCCTGTAGTTATAAAGATAAACTGAGATTTAAAAACAAACACTAAAGACTTTAAAAATTAATAAGGCACTGCTCAAGCTCCATGTGGTAATTTAAGTAATGATATTCCTAGTGTTTTTTCCTTCCTCATTCCATAGTAATGCTCTTATTCATCCCATAGGCCCTGTGATCATTTTAATTTTCTCTCTTAATCATAGGTATTTCAAAAATATATTAAATAAGCCAAGAAAAACAAAATTAGTTTTAAGTCACAGTACATTTCATGCCAAGAATAATATACTTATAGCCAGTTCTCATATGTTAACCTTTTTATTTTTGTTTCTCAATATCTGATTTCCCCTTTTTTAAAGTCAGATAAGATTAACTTTTATAAGTCCTAAGTCCACTAAGATTTTATATTTCTATTTTTTTCTCAACATAATTTCCATCAACTATTTCTTATGCTTATTGATAAAGTTTAATTTTCTCATTGTTCTTGTACTTTCCTCTAATTACTTTTAACTTATATATACTAACACATTCTCTAGTTTAAGACAATTTAAATCTTAGCCAAAATCTGTGTTTCTATCATTGCTGACCCCTAATAGAAGTGTCCCAAGTTTCTGATTAATAAAAAAATATATAAAACAATGAGCATTTCGAAATCTTGGCAACTCAATGGAACATATGTTGATGAAACAATGCAGTAGCTGACACTTTAAAATACATTTTACAATTAGGTCCTAGGTTTAATCTTTTTACTAACTGACTTGGTTGGACTTTGCTGACTAGCTCTTTGTTGGAATAACTAATAAAGTGTGTTCCATATGCTTTATACTTATCCACTCATTAATTCTTTCTACAACTCTATAAGGAAATCAGGCAAGGAGGAGTGAAGTGATTTGCTCAACAAGGCACAAAAGCTAGTAAGTGACACAAGCAGAATCTAGAGCCAGACACAAAAACGTCCATACTTTTAGAGATTTTTGTTAATGGGAAAGGGGTCTTTAAAACTCTTTAGCTTAATATAGTTACTTAAAAGTAAAAATTCCTATTAACTGCCATGAAAAATTGGAGGACCTCAACACCAGTTCAAATGTTAATTTATTAAGGTGATTCTTTATGCACAATCATAGAAAATATGTTTTACTCACATGCTCTCTCTTTGCTGTTTCATTTATCAATTTCTTAATACGTTTACCATTATTCTGAGGTCTGTATTACTCAACATGAGTGAACTTAAGTTTCAATCTTACTAATGTTTTGACATTTTCCACAAAAAATACTGTTCTAAAAACATCTATCTGAAATTACCTATTAGTGTTCTTGACTTGACGTAAAGTCAAAGGTTCTTTTACTTAAATTTGACAGCACAAAACTCATTTAGCAACTTAAATCACAAATTTTATATTTTATATAATCTAGTGTTTCACAAGAATATTTCTGAACAGAATATAGGCTTGTTGGTGACATTTATGAATGCAACACTTTAAGGAGCTATAATTTTGTATGCTATACACACAAACATATTACATAGAGTATATTACAATGACATTTTACTGCCTCCATGTACGATATGGTTATCCCAGAATTTTCTAGGAATAAATGTGCTTATTCCTACATACATCATAGAAACCATTTGGTATTTAAAATAATTAAAGGGAGTTTCTTAAACATTAATTGTAGATAAGAGACATGTAACATACAGAGATAATTTCCTACCTGTTTTATTGGACAGTCTAAATGACACCATCTTATCAGGAATATTACATACACTCCTCACTGAAGCAATGCAGCTATAATTAGCATAGTCCTGAGGTCGAAGATTCTTTAGTTTTAAGATCTTTGTTTCACCCTGAAAATGTTAAAAAAAAAAAAAAAAGGCATAAGAAAAAGCCAACACAACCAGAATGAATGAATGAAACATCACATTACATTGTACTAAATCCTTTTATCTTAATATGTCAGACTGCTTTTTTTTTTTTTAAGGAAAATGCCCAAACTTTAAAATAAGTTATAAATGCACTAAACTTTAAAATAACACTGGATTTTAAAATAATACTGTAATATTAAGTATGCCTGGAGATAAAAACTAACAGACTACAATGAAAATTCATAACATTTTCTTTGCCAACTAGCTTCCTCAGGGGAAAAATCTATTTCTGGTGGTAGTTATGCAAATTATTATGCAAAGATCAGAACACTGTACTTAATAATGAGGTACACTCAACAAACACTGCAATCTATTCAGACACGGATGTGAGAAGATAAAAGAATCTGAAGAAAGCCAAGAAATGAAATACAGTTGTTAGACCAAAGTTAATTAAGTCAATCCAATGATAAATAATTACATTTATAAACATAAATATTTTGTATATGGAGCAATGATAGGTGACAGATCTAAAACTGAAGGGAAGAAGCATTCATGAGTGTTTTTATACCATTATTATTTCATGTTCAAGTGTTTAAGGGCTAAGGGCTAGGTCTCCAGGTAAATCTACACAATTGTAGATAGTTGCAAATCAGGCAAGTGGCCATAAGTATCTAACAAACTCTTGATGAGCCAGGAAAGATTTTGTAAAAACATTAGATTGAAATTGTTGAAAGGACAAAAAAAAGAACAAAGAACAAAAATTAAATTCTCCTGCCAATTCAAATTGGGTCCCCTGGGCTTTCTTTGCCTTCTAAAGTCATTAAAGCATCTTCTCAAAATAGTTCTTATAAGCAACTTACTTATTTTGATGGCAAAACAGTGATCTAATGATTTTATAGTATTAGGGATTTATAAAAAAATCAAAATGCTAATTTTTTCCAGATAATCTGTATATGGAACAATGTGTTTCACCACCTTATCTGGGTAACATTCATTGAGTTTTAAAAATTGCAACAATTTCATATGTTATTGAGGAGGACTGAAATATTTAGTGTGTTACTACATAAAAACACTGCTGTTCATTTGCAAGAAAGCTTGCCCAGACATAGGCACACAGTTTTTCAAATGTGTCAAATTAATCTCTATTCCAGTGTGCATGCACATTGTGGCCATAAGTATTTTCATTCACTGTCCAAATTCAGTCTTAAATCAGTCACACCCTTAGCATTTTCATCAGTGGTATAAAAAAATCTACCTTTAATTTTTCTTTAGAAAAAACACTGAATTTTTAATATACAAGCAAATATAAATATATTCCATACAAATATACAAAGAAATCTATGAGTTTCCAGAGTTTATATATAAAAGTATTCTCTTGTGTTACAGAATTCCCATGTTATATAAAATACCCAGAAAATGTGCTTAGTTAGAACAGCTGAAAGAAAATGATATACTAGAATTAGTCAACTCAGAAAACTTTTGAGTAAAGTGATACCTCTTACCCGTCCTACCTTTGTGACACTTATTGCTCAAATTTCTTTGCTTTTCTTTATCCTCTCAACATAATTAGTGTTACTCCCTGGGATTCTACTTATCCCATAGTTAACCTCACTTTATAAAATGTCATTAGGTGGTATTATCCTTGCTGATGAATTTCTACTACAAGCTCTATTTTCTTGCCCCCCTCCCAAGTCTGAGCCCCTATTCCAGAATTCTCCCTTAAGTTTCAGATGCACTATACGTATATATACACATATATATGTATATTTGTGTGTGTGTGTGTGTGTGTGTGTGTGTGTGTATATATATATACACACACACAATTACTCCAAAATGTACCAACCTCTAATCATTCTCAAAGATTTACTATATGTAGTCAGTATTCTAAAAGCATATTGTGTGTATGTATACAGACATAAATATGCAGTTGCATGTATTATATACTATTTCATTATACTATCCTATATATGTAACTGCATGTATCTGTAGCTATTATCATTGATATCTACATCCATGTCTTTCAGTTGCATTTCTACCGATTTTCATTTATCTACCTATATTTGAACTAAAGACAAATTATAAAATTATGTGTGTGTGTGTGTGTGTGTATGTGTGTGTGTGTATACACAATTGCTCCAAAAAGTACCAATCTCTCATCATTCAGAAAAATGATATGTAGTCAATACTCTAAAAGCAACCATGGAGTGATAATGATTCTCAAATATAAACAAATAATGAACACTGTCATTTAGATGTATATTTAATAATAAAGTCTCTTTATTCACAGAGTTAATTAAACTCTGTCAGTACTTCTTGTTTCTGTTTCTATCAACAAATTCTTTTTTAATTTGCATTTTCTCAATAATACATTTTTAACATTCCACTGAAATAGTACCCACTAATTTCATTAATGGTGATCTCTTGTTAAAATTCAATAAACCTTTCTTTTGTATACTTCTATGCTTCTATACTTCTCTGCTTATTTCTAAGACTTTAGATTACCTTTACTCCTTTGACAGCCCCTCATATATAGGCAATTAATTACAGATATGATAATTTAGTCATTTCTTGGTTGTTTTACCATTGAATATTTTAGCTTCTGAAGCCTGCAACTTTGTACTAATATATTCCTGGTGAAATCTGATCTCTTATCACAGTTTCAATTAGCACTTATGTATAGATAACTGACAAATGTCTAGACAAAAAGAAAAAAAAGCACACTTGCTAAAAATCACCACAGATTGTAATTAGTAAATTCTAGATTTTCTTAATGTTTCTTGTCCTTTGAGTTGCAATGTTTGCTGGCATACTTAATAGGACATACTTAAATTTTAGTCTCTCCCACCCAGCATTTTTCCCAAGAAGAAATGTAGTCTTTTATCCTTTTGGATCTCTTAGGATAATCTATCCTGCATTTCTAATTCTCTTTTTTCTTTTTTGGGGGGTGGGATCAAGGTTTAAGGTCCTGAAAAACTTAAATTGCTCTCCTTCACTGAAAAAAAAAATTAAATAAACCCTTAATTCATCATTTGAGACTCTATGCAGTCTAAGCAAAACTACTTTTTCATTATTTTTCATACAAACTCTTCAATCTCATCAAATTAGTTATGTCACTATCTTGAGGTATCTCTTTATGATTTCCTAATGCTCCCCATCCCTTGCTATGAGTCATTTTTTTTCCTATCTGAACTGATGTATAGTTCAAAAAATACATGTACTTACTTTTTGAAGCCTTTTCAGACCTTACCAGTTGTAACTAAATTATCTTTCTTTGGAATACCCATTGCATCTTATACTATGACATCTATTTGTAACTCACTATTTAATGTTTGCTTATGAGTTATGATTTAGGGTGTTGAGCTGTGTTCTTCAACTGAATCATAAGCCTCCTAGGGGCAGAGGTACACTGCATGTCCCACAGCAGCAAAGATAAAGCATTTCCTATCCGTTGCTTTATAAATATTTGGATTCACAAGACATACTTAAATTTTGGTCTTTCTGACAGAAATACCATTTGACCCAACAGTCCTATTATTACTGGGTATATACCCAAAGGAATATAAATAATTCTATTAAAATGTCACATGCACACATATGTTTACTGCAGCACTATTCACAATAGCAAAGTCATGGAATCAACCTAAACGGCCAACATGTTAGACTTGATAAAGAAAATGTGGTATATATATACACCATTAAAACTATGTAGCCACCAAAAAAACAAAACAAAACAAAACAAAAAAACAAAAAAAAGAATGAAATCATGTCCTTTGCAGGAACATTGATGGAGCTGGAGACAATTATCCTTAGCAAATTAATGCGGGTAAAGAAAACCAAATACCACACATTCTCACTTACAAGTGGGAGCTAAATGATGAGAACACATAAACACAAAAACAGACACTGGGGCTTACTGGAGGGTAAAGGCTGGGAAAAGGGAGAGGATCAAGAAAAATAATGGATACTAGACGTAATACCTGGGTGATTAAATAATCCATACAACAAGCCCCCATGAACATGTTTACATATATAAGAAACCTGCACATGTACCCCTGAACTTAAGGGTTAAAAGTTAAAAAAAAAGAGTTGGTCTTTCCCACTCAACATATCCCCCAAGAAGAAATGTAGTTATAATATATAAACACAATGACTTTATTTATTTATTGTTTTTTGAAATGGAGTCTTGCTCTTGTCGCGCAGGCTCAAGTGCAATGGTGAGATCTTGGCTCACTGCAACCTCTGTCTCCCGGGTTCGAGCAATTCTCCTGCCTCAGCCTCTCAAGTAGCTGGGATTACAGGCATGCGCCATCACACCCAGCTAATTTTTGTATTTTTAGTAGAGATGGAGTTTCACCATGTTGGCCAGGCTGGTTTGGAACTCCTGACCTCAAGTGATCCACCTGTCTCGGCTGCCCAAAGTGCTGGGATTACAGGCATGAGCCCCTGTACCCAGCCCAGAATGACTCTATAATAATAAAAGTTACATAACATAGTATCTAGCTATACAAATTAGACATCTTCATTCTTCCTCATTAAACAACTCTGTCTCTTGCTTACATCTGCTGTACTTCTAATATTATTCTCATTATCATTTTTTGCCCCTTCTGTAAATTTTGTCATACTAATAATCAACTAGACACTGTTTGATTTTTTATGGTAATGTTTCTATATTTAAATATTTTTACTTGAACTACTAAAATCTGTACATGGCCAGGCTGCCTCCATGTTCCCTGTAAAAAATAAGAATTATATCAAGGATTCTCAATTATTTTCAATGTTATCTTGCCATTGCATATCCTATCTCCCACTTTAAGAAATAGTCGGTTGATTACTTAAAATGTACTAAAAACATGGAGGGGATGAACTGCTCCAGTGTTCTGTTTCTTGATCTTCAAGCTACCTGAAGGGGTGTGATCTCTCTAAAAACTCATCGGGCTGTACACTTAGGTTTCATGTGCTTTTCTACACATACATTTCAATAA